CCTTCCTTCCTTCCTTCCTTCCTTCCTTCCTTCCTTCCTTCCTTCCTTCCTTCGTGTTAGGGGTTCTTTTCATATAAAATGAGATATAAAAGTACGAAAAGCTAAAACTGATTGTAATACTTCACTATTTTAACTGCAAACACTTTCAAATAAAACCCTTGATTGCAAATGTATTTATTGTTGTTAACCTAAAACATACAGTAGGACATGAAACAAGATCTGAAACAGGTTTGAAGTCCACAACAGCAAATTAATTTGGGTTTAATATGTGAGTATGTAGGTTAGACTAGCACCTACCCATGACATAAGAAGCTGAGACAATGCTATTTTTTGTTTTGTCAGTATAGGGATTTCAAAACTCAATGATTTTATAGCATAAATTTTAACTGGGTGATAAACAAAAACACTACAGGAAGATAAAACTTTGTATTTACACTTTTTTTTTTAGCTAAACATATTATTGTATGTTTATTACAACCACTATGAGACAGTGCTTTTTGATGCTAAATGTGCCAGTGTGCTAAATGCCAGTAATCTGTGTTAAGGATAAGATTTGTGGGAGAACTACCCTGACGCCCTGCAGTTCAGTCAGCAAGCTGTCAAACCAGAAACAGCCTCATTTATCATTTGAGTCCTGAGTGTCCACTAACGGCTGCTCACGCTCTGCCGAACACACAATCTTCCCCGTGACCTTTTTGTTCGAGGATATTATGAAATACGGACTGAGTGACGCGTAGCAGGACGAGAAGAAGACCCTCATGTCAGCCACCAGCGGTGAGACCTTTGACACCGTCAGCATGTAGATCCAGATCACGTTGTCGATGCCGAAGAAGACCACGTAGAGCACTACCAGGGCGAGCACCGTCTTGGCTGCTCTGGTCTCGGTCCCGCCGCCCCGAGAGCGACGRATCCCCTTCACCTGTTTGCTGTGGCAGTGGAGGAGGAAGAGGATGTAACCGCTGGAGCCCACCATCAGGGCAACAAAGGCAAAATCCCGCCCAGAGACGGCCACGCCGTTAATAACGTAGGACAGGTGGTCTTTGAAGTTTACGTGACAGAAGCCAAGGTTGAGGGTGAAGGCAGGGATAGTGCCGTTACGTGGAGCCGTGGAGAAGAACGGGGCCGCGATGCAAACGGCCATGTTGAGGAGCCAGAGTCCTGCGAACGTGGGATAGACCAGCGAGGGGAGAGCGGGCTTCAGCCTGGACAGACGGGGCCCAGCAGAGGCGATCGTCACCATCTGGAACACACTGAGCATGCAGGTGATGCAGACCGACAACGCCCGACTGACCCGGTAGGCATAGATCACCACCTTACACCCAGGGTCGCTCAGGAGGTCCCTCAGCCCGAACACGGTCATGGTCTGGGGCACGCAGCGGGTCAGCAGCAGCAGCAGGTTGGCAAAGGCCAGGTGGCACAGGATCGTGTCCACAGGAAGGAGCTTCGTTTCAGAGCTCAGGCTGGCGTACGCCAGGAGCACCACGGCGTTCCCCAAGATGCCCAGACCTGTTTGCAAGATGAAGGAGACGCCTTTGATGGTCACACACAGATCCATGACACCTTGGCACGAGACAGTTTACAAAACAGATAATTAACAATTAATCATAAACATTTTAAACGTCAGATCACAAACCTAACTGTAGTCAAAACGATTCTTACCAGAGCTCCTAAAACCTAAAAGCCTGTAATCGTCAAACGACCCACCATTTATAAACCTCGACGCCCCTCAAGGCTTTATGAGATTACATCGTTCAACCATCGCAACAAACCAACCATCTTCTTGCAAAGTCTCTGAGGATCTTAACCACATGGGAAATTACATTTTTTAATTAAATTGATTTAATTTAAACAACAATAAATAAATTAATTAAAAACAAACAAAAAAGCACAATATCATTAAATGAAAAGGAGCAGAAAGAAGAAAAGAATCTTAAA